CCTTCAGCTTAGCAGCCTTCTTTTCATAAGGCTGTTTCTCATCTGCAGCAGTGTTAATCCACATCTCTCCCAATTTCTTTGCAACATCACCAATGGGTAGGCCAGGATGTTCTCCTTTGATTTTTGGGCGATATTCAGAACAGAACAAGAAAAAGGCTGAAGGAGGCCTCTTGGGTGCATTGGGATCCTTAAACTTCTTTTTTGTTTCCCCTTTAGGAGGGATATAGGTTTTCATTTCTCTTTCATAACAGGCCTTGTCCACCTTTGCCATATCTTCAAACTTCCCTTTCTCTTTAGCAGACATGGTCTTCCACCTCTCTGAGCACTTCTCAGAAAACTCTGAAGTTGACTGAAGCATCTGGGTGCTTCTTCTTGTGTGCACAAAGAATGCATATGATGACATTTTGCCTCTCGGCTTCTTAGGATCTCCTTTGCCCATATTTAGTTATGCTTCCTCCGCGAGGCACAGAGTCACCCAGTGCTCGTCCGGCTCTCACTTGCCCTGGCGCTGTCTCTATGGAGGTCAATGTACTGCAATGGCTGTCCCCAGTTGGATCTTTTTTTTTTTTTTTTTTTTTGAGAGGTTTTCGCTACAGGGTGCGTGTGCTCGCCAGACAGAGAGGGACATAGAGACAGAAAGCGAGAAATCACCCCCCAGGGGGGATGGTCACGCCGCAATCCCTTCTCCTCCAGTCTCCTCTCAGGATCTTGGGCACACACGCACACACGCCTGGCGTGAGTTTTAAGCCACCGGGTCCGGGATGCGAACCGCGGTCGACTACGTGGGAGTCCAGCAACATAGCCATTATGCTAACTGCTGGTTCCCCCCAGTTGGATCTTTTTAACAAGGATCTCAGGTGCTCCTCTTTCAGGTATATGAAAAATGCACTCTTTAAGACGTATTCTAAGCCCATTCTAAGATACTGGTTGCCACAAGCTGAGCAAGATAGTGGGGCCAGCAGGTGGTGTAGCAGTTAAGGTGACGAACTCCCACATGGCCAACCGCTTTTTGAATCTTGGACCCAACACCTTGAAAATCACACCAGGCACATGTGCATGTGTGCCCCAAATCCCAAGAGAAGAACAGATTGCAGCATGGCCACCCCCTCTGAGTAATGATTTCTTATTTTCCCTGTCTCTGTCTCTCTCTGATGAGCGCATGCTCCCTATGACAAAAACCTAAATAAACAAACAAAACCCAATAACGTTTAGAAGGCAAAAATATGTTAAATCTATCATAGATTTGGGTTTTTCCTTACTATGAATCCTAAGTACAGGCATGCCCCTATGTTTTATTTCTAATATTTTGGAATTCCAGATACATTGATCAAATCATGCCTCTGTTCCTTTCTTACCTGATCAGTTTGTCTTTTGGTTCCAACTTGGCTGTCATTACTGAATCAAGAATGGAAAACAACAAATAAGCCCTGCGTGAGTGACAACAGGACCGCGGAGACCAGCCACGAGAAAGTAAATAATCACTACAGACTGGATCTGGTCGGGACAGCCCTGTGTGTGCGCAGCCCACCCGTCTCCACTCTCCACGTCTACACCACAACAGACAGCGCTGGCCGTGACCTCGTTTCCCCAGCTGATCAAGCCTTGTTGGAATGTGCCGGCTTCAGCATGAGAGACACAATGTATTTGCCATCAATACTTAAGGAATTACTAGAATGCAGGAGGCCAAAAAGGTAATCAAGTCAAGCTAGGAAAAGGCTGAAAAGAATACTGAAAAATCTTTTCAGGGAAAGTTTCAGACTTCTTTCACTTCATTTCAAATGGAGTTTCCAACAGTACTTATTCATTACTTATTTATAATGTATTTATTTAACTTATTTAAATAGGTTACATATTCTTTCCTCAACTACATATTTATCAAGATGTTAGCAATGAATATTAACCCCCCCCAATTGAAACTGTTGTAATACAGATTTAATTGTGAACCGACTACATAATTATACTTCCTAGTAGCATTTAGTAAAGGGTTTACATGATGTGAAAATGTGAGAAAAAGAAGCAATATTACTGAGTGAAGTCCTACTTTTAGAGTATTTGAACAATAGATTGTTCTTGGTAACTATCGGGTCATCAGGAAAGTCATGAATCGCTTTTGCATAGGAGAAAGCATGACTTTCCCAACGACCCAATACTAAGAAACTTACCAACGACTTGGAAGTTCCTCAAGACATTGGGATGAAGGGGTGCTGGTTATTTGGGCTTCTATTATTTAGACACTGAGTAAAATCAGAGTTTATAGTATTGGCCTGACAAATATATGAATATTTGGAGGAATAATTTTTCTCTCACTGGCTTAATTTCTTTATTTTTATAAATTTTAGAATTATTTATTAATTTCATTTTTCATTATTATTATTTAATTTGCTACAAGGCACATGCACTCATGTGAGAGAGAGGGAGGGAGAGAGAGAGAGAGAGAGCAAACAATTCGCCAGGTCTAGGACTCAAACTGCAGCTGGTCATGTGGGAGTCCAGAGCCCCAACCACCATGCCACCTGTGGCCCCCAGTTCCTTTGGTTTTTTTTTTTTTGAGATGGAAATATCTACATTTTGGGGGGAGGATAGGTGATGTTGAATTAATCTCTTTCTTTTTTTAAAAAAATGTATGTATTTAATTCCATTTGTTATTTTAGTTTCACCAAAGAGAGAGAGCGAGAGAAAGGGTAAGTAAGAAAGCAAGCCACCAGGTCCAGGACTTGAACTACAGTCAGCCATGTAGGAGTCCATCACCTTAACCACCATGTCACCTGCTGGCCCAAGCTGAACTATTTCTATACCATGTAATACTAAATATGCTAAGTCAAAGAAACACATAGCTTAGAACCCTTTCCTGGTATTTCTTCTATAGCACTATCATTTTTCCTCCCCTTTTTTTCTTCTTCTTTGTAAGTATGATATTGTGAGCTCTTTATTTGGGATAAAGCCCCATGGCCCAGACTTGCTTGGAGATAGCTCCGAGAGGGCAGGAGAGACCTCGGGGTGTCAGGTCTCACAGCCATGGGTGGTCGTATACTTTTCCGAAAAGCCCTCCAGCTGGTCTAGAAGGTCCTTCTTGCTTACGTCCCAGTCTGCTGGCCAAAGCATGGTAAACGTCTCCTTGCCCAAGACGTACGTGTAATGAGATTTGATTTTCCACAGGTCTGACATCTGGCCCATGATGAGATATGACTCTTATTCCTACAACCCTAGGGAGTTGTGGCAGCAGGCATGGATGACAAATTTCTTCATGCTGAGGGGCAAGGCAGGGTTGGTGCCACTCTTGATGATGGCTTGGAGCTGCATGGTGAAGTAGATATGCGAGTTGGAGGCTGATTCCAGCCTGACCTTGTACACAAAGTCCATGCCCACCTCACAGGCCAGTGCATGGAGGTCCTCCCGCTTCAGCTGGGCACTGTCCTTTTTCTGGGCCGGGCACTGTTCCTCGGTGTATCTGCAGACATCTTTGTTAGCACCATCGTTTTAATGGAAACAAGCTTGTAAATTCTCGAGCTGCTAACATGTGAGAATGCAAGGGAGTCTGCTCAAGCTAAAGTACACACATCACACATTCAGAAAGAATGTGCATGAGCCATTTCTGCAAGCGTGCACTCTGAACGTTCTCGCTCAGTGTGGGTCACTGTGCACCATCCCCTCCCGATCTCAAGTAGCTCAGCAAACAATCCGCCTGTCTATACCTAAAAGGCAAGTATTCTTGGGGTTTTTTGTTTGTCTTTTTATATTTTCTGGCAAGAATACTTGGAAATTTTTAACAACTTAAATATCAGTCGACTTTTGTTCCTTTTACCCTTTCATGGAAATGTCAAGCATTCATATTTTCAATACTAATGAACAACCACCAATTGTTTTAATTTCATTATTTTCTCAACTGAAAGAGTGCTTACAGAGCACCGAAATAGCTAAGTTTTCTTTTTATAGATTTCTCTGGTGAGCCTGAAACAAGTTTAAATTGAAAGACAAAAAAACTTGCAAACTCCTTCCCTCTGAATAGCACTGTCTTGATTAAACTGACCTCCTTTATCCATCCCTCAGTTGAAAAATAAAAAAAAGACCCCAAAGAGAGAACTCAAAGCCCAGGGTTTGCCCAAGACATCCAAGTCATTTTCTTATCTCTAGGCAGGACTAAATTATGTTTACACTGCCAGAAATCTACCTATCTTAAAAATAGCCAGAGAACGTTCGGCCACCTTAAATGGTAACAAATCTAGGAGAGAGGGTTTAGCTTCCTCTGGTACCTGGGCACAGCACAAAATCTGGATTGCAATCATTTTGTAATCTAAATAGTGTGACTTGCTGAATAAACCCTTCCACTTGCTGTGCTCGCTATAGAAGAGATTTGAGAAATAATATTTGCCCTTTCAGGAATAAATTTCTGCTTTTGTTCACTAAGTGACACTGTCTAGATTTGTACAACTAAATGCATCTTTAAAAGGAGACAACTTTCTTTCCTGATCCTAAGGAGCAGTGCAGGAAGAGGAGTGAAGGTGGAGTATGTGGCCCGGACTGTTGCTAAGTTAGAGAAACAGAGGGAACCAGATGTGACCCTCAGTTCACGGAGGCTTGTTTGGAAAGCGCCTGTGTGGAGACACCCTGGCTTTGCAGACATGTGACCTGGCACTGCAAAGGAGAAGAAGGAGCCTCAGTGCAGGGAGAGTGCAGGGACAGCACCGGGACAATGCCAGGTCCTTGTTTTGTAGATGTGTTTGGCTGCAGCTCCCAAAGTCCTCATGGCTTTCCTGACACATGAAAACACAGACGGGATCTCTGTCACCTGAGATTTTTTTGTTCTAGCAGTTGCTTAACCTTGTTCAGCAGCTGCCTATACTAGAGACTCCAGAGAAGAAGCAGGCTTGCAATCATTGTCCCATGTCCGTCTCCCACTCCTTGTCCCTAAACATTGCTTCCTAATTTAATCGAACATTTCTAACTTTGTGTATGGAGAAACAACTTTGCTTGTACCTGTTGTCAGAGAATCATGCACTCACCTATTGAGTCGGTACTGGTTATGGTACTCTCTCTCCTTCACTGCGCTGTACTCGTTCTGATACTTGAGAAGTTGCTCTCTCATTTTGGAGACCTCCGTGGAGAAGGCTTCCGGGAAGTGATCGGCTTGCTGCAGGTGAAACTGCTGCTGCTGTATTTGCTCGGTGAAGCGTTTGGCATTCTGTAGCAGCTGGACTTCTGACTCTTGTGTGCTGGTGGCATAGAGAAGAGAATCGCATAATGAGAAATCTACACCCTCAATACCCTTTCTGGTTCCTGCAGGGGTAGTGAGGAGGGCAGAGAGCATGCCCATAGCTGCTCCCCATCTCTCAGTGCAGTTCAACTCCATCACAGTTTTATGCTGAGTACTGTGCTAGGAATTAGAGATGAATATGAATAAGGCTCAGCTCCCCACAGGGAGCTTACCATGGAGCAGAGGGAAACAGATGGAAATCGGTAGTGGAAATATCAGGTCACAAGTACTACCACTCGTAGACCAAGGCAGTGGCAGATGAGAGAGAGAGGATTGAATTCAATGGGAACGTGATATTTGCCCTTGATTTTGAAGAACAATCATGATTTCCAAGGATGGGGGAGGAGTTTGATAGGAGAAGAGTGGGTACCTCCTCGAATAGCCCCAGCAACCCTGGCTTTCTTGCATTCTTGAATTCTCCTGACATGATCAGGGGAAAATCTTTTCCCCCTTAGTGAACTAAGAAAACACAAAACTTTTCTAATGATTCTTAACTAGGGAACTAGGAAGAAAAATGCCCCCTATAACATCATGGGCATAAATTTACAGATTTCTGACCCAAACCTTGACACTTGGTTAGAGCCAGACTTGAATTATCACAGTGGAGAATGATTCTTACATACCCACATATATATCGGACCTTGGGCTGATCTAGACAGGGGCTGAATAGAGGCAGACCTGATGAGACACAGAAATTGGTTTTGGCAAAATTCCCACTACCTTCCAGAATTCATCTACACTGCAAGCTAACACCAGGCCTCGCTTTACCAGTGGACATGATTCATTTTTCTTTTCTTTTTTTTTTTTTTGAGAGGTTTTTGCTATAGGGCACATGAGCTCACTAGTAAGACAGAGACAGAGACAGAAAGGGGGAAATCACCTCCCAGGGGGGATGGCTACACCGCAATCCCTTCTCCTTTCAGGATCGTGGGCACAGAAATAAAGGCACCCAGTGTGAGTTTAAGCCACTGGGTCCAGGATTTGAACCATGGTCAACTACATGGCAGTCCAGCGACATAGCCATTATGCTAACTGCTGGTCCCCATGATTCATTTTTCTTAGAAACATTTGCATTTAGCTCCTCCTCCTACTTAGGAGCAAGCCCTTACCATTTTGTATAAAGTCAGAATTCCCTTTTGGTGTGTGGTTCCCACCAACTTTCCTCACCAACAGAAATCTTCAGGTTCTAGCTCATTTGCAGAGATGCTCAATGACTTGATCAAACCTATCTTGCCTGAAGTTACCAGCTCACCCATTTTCCCAGGCTTTAACATGTTACTTGCTCAAGAGCATCCAGCAAACCATTTAGTGAGACATAATATGTTCCAGGCACTGTATTCAGTCCTGAATAGCAATAACGACAGCTACAGTGCCAACACATCTCATTTCCACCAAAAGGGAATTCTGACTTTAAACAAAATGGTAAGGGCTTGCTCCTAAGTAGGAGGAGGAGCTAAATGCAAATGTTTCTAAGAAAAATGAATCATGGGGACCAGCAGTTAGCATAATGGCTATGTCGCTGGACTCCCATGTAGTTGACCGTGGTTCAAGTCCTGGACCCAGTGGCTTAAACTCACACTGGAAAGCTAAGGTTATTTTCTTACAATTCAATTTCCTTATGTGCTACTATACTTTGAAAACCTACAGTCACCTGATTTCCTTAACATGACAATCTTCAGGTACAGAAATGGCAAGTATCAGCCTGAGCCACAGTGTCCGTCCGTCCCCCCCGCACCCCCCAAGAAAGGAAGAGCACCAGGTGATTAGGGTGATTAGCGTTCTAGCCAGAACACAGCCGGCAAGTCCGGCCACACATACTTGAGACACAGCATCAGCAGAAGAGAACTGAACAACTCTCTTAACATGATTTCTATGGAAAATTAGTTCAGTTTCAGTTCAGTAATTTTCAGCCTGTATCTACTTGGCTGCAGCCCCAGCAGCACAAGAGGAGACTCCAGTTCTTCATGCCTTTCCCACCGAGCAGCCAGTGGGAGTGAGAAAGTGGAGGGTGTTTGTAATGCAAGAGAGGGAACTAAAGGGCCTAGAGGAGGTAAAATGTGGTTATCACAAGGGAAGTAACTATTTTGCAACACAATCTGGAAGCTGGAAGAAATAACACCCTAGCCTTGGTCCTGCACCACTGCTTGTTCTGGGGCCCAGGGAGCTGAGCTGTGCACCAGGGAAGGAGGAAGTGCAGTCAGATCACCCTGCCAAGCTCCACTGGGCCTTAGAAAAGAGCTGTGCAGAGGGTACAAAGGACTGCAGTATTCTTTTATCTGCCAAGAGGCTCACAGGGGTGCCCTGAGGACTGTGTGGACTTTTCTCCCACTTAAACAGTGTGAAGTATGTGAGAAAAATGACTCTAGGCTTTCGCTCTAAAGTCTCCAAATCTGAGTCTTGGGGTTTATGAGTTCTCACTGACAGGCAGGGCCAACTATGGGAGAATGGAGTCTCCATTAGAAGTGAGGGATTTCCCTTCTTTGGTTACTCCCCCTGCCCTCCTGATTCCCAATAGCTAGTAGCAGGTGCTCAGGAAAACTTGTTGAATTATTCTGTGGAAGCCTATTCTTATGACTTGCTGCTGCTCACTGGGACTTAGCTAAGATGACTACACGAAAGTAGGAGGAAGAAGTGAGAAGACAGACATCTTGACATGGATTGGGTTGTCACAGAATCTGCAGCTCTGAGGGGTAGACAGACATAGATAGGAGAATCCTACAGGAAGGCCCTGTAGCAGGCATTGTTAGCTCCACCAAAATCTCCTTGTCCACCTACAGCTTTGGTGGACAGTTACCATTCCTACCAACAGTACCTGCTCCCTCTGCCTGCGAGCTGTCTCTGGCAAAGGAACTTGATTGGTTACTCAAAAAGGCGGGCTAGACATGCCAGGAGCAATTTCCCTGGGAATAATTTTTTATTTTCTTAATTATGATGCAATTAATAATAATTGTACTTATTTATGGGGCACTGTGTGATTTTTCAGTATATGAATACAATGTGTAATAATCAAAGTAGGGTAATTAGCATATTCATCATCTCACACTTTAATCATTACTTCGTATTAGAAACTCAAAATCTTCATTTAACTAATTTGATATATGTATATATAATATATAGTATATAATATGCAATATCCTTCCCATATTATATATATTATGTAATATATTATCTGTGTGTATATATATGTATGTATATCTATATATACACATATATTATCTGTGTGTATATATTATACATTATATATATTATAGATAATGTATATGTGTGTATACATGTATACACACAGATAATATATATGTAAATATATACACACACATATATATATACAAACAGAGAGAGAGAGATAATTACAGTTACTGTATTGTGCTATAGAACACTAAAACTTATTCCCTAGGAGCAATTCTAGTCTTTTTAAGTTTATATTTTCCATGAAATGGAAAGAGAGAGAGAAATTTGGAGACAGATACTCCTAACCAGTCCTCCTGCAGCAATCCACCCCTAGTCTTGGATGGCCAGAATAACGTGCATGAGTATACATGTACCCGGAGTGCTCAGGGAGGCCCTGGACATGAATCCAGGACCCTTCCCATGTGGGTCTAGTTGCATTACCATTGTGTCACCCCGGGAGTACATCTTAATCAAGGGGTGTAAACTGGCAAATGACTATTCCAGTTTCATCAACCTTCAGTGGGAGAGTTCCGAGGTGTATTCTACACAGTCACTCAGGGGGCCTTTTGAGACTGAGCCCCACTGCCCGAAGTCCAACCCTACAGAAGAACACATCCCCAGCAGGAGTCCTCCCTCCTCAGCCTCACTTCCCCTCTCTCTCGTGTTTTCCAAAATCACTTCTCAGACCAGTTGAACTCTAATCTTGCTCTCAGGTCTGCTTTTAGGGGACTCCAAAGGAAGACATCACAGGTAAAAAATTTAAATACGAGGCAAGATGTGTCCACATTGGTAAATAACGTACCTCAACACAGTATCATGCAGCAAGGTGTACTTGGCTTTTAACTCTGCCATTCTGGTAGCAGGAAGTTTTCCCATAGAATGTAACTACCAGAAAAACACACAAGAACATAAATTAGTTCAATGTAATATAAACAAGATTATGATAATAAATATAAATAAATAAAAGAACATAAATTAGTTGTCACCCTCTTCATGCTTAAGCAGGAGAAAATGGACACGGCTATTTCTTTTTTTTCTTCTTTATTTTTTTTGTTTGTTTGTTTTTTAGAGGTTTTTGCTATAGGGCGCATGCTCTTGCCAAACAGACAGAGAGAGACAGAGAAACAGAAAGTGAGAAATCACCCCCCGGGGGGATGGCCACGCCGCAATCCCTTCTCCTCCATTCTCCTCTCGGGTTCTTGGGCAATGTGGAGTATTAGAAAGATATTGAACATTTGCAGAAAATAGTTCCTGTCCTACCTCCAATAAACTCAGTGTTCTTGGACAAGTCTTTTCACCTCCCTAGGCTGTGATTTCTTCATATAGAAATTGAGGAACTGAGCTAAGCTCTTGCAATTCTAAAAAAAATATTTCTAGGTTTACCAAATAAACCACATAATGTAAACAATCAGAATGGCTATTTGTAAGTAGAGAGATGTTCAGTAATGATTACTTTTCTCCACTTACAAACAGCCATACCTCACTCTCATTCTTGTCTTCATACTTCAGCCAAACTAGCAGTTCATAAGAAGGCCTTCTCTCTCTTTTTTTTTTTTTTTTTTTTTTTTTTGAGGTTTTTGCTATAGGGCACGTGCACTTGCCAGACAGAGAGAGAGACAGAGAGATAGAAAGCGAGAAATCACCCCCCGGGAGGGATGGTCATGCCGCACGCACACGCGCCTGGCATGAATTTAAACCACTGGGTCCGGGACGCAAACCGTGGTCGACTACGTGGGAGTCCAGTGACATAGCCATTACGCTAACTGCTGGTCCTAAGAAGGCCTTCTCTTAATTCCAAATCAAAGAGAAATGCATATACCACCCTCCAAAACCCAACTCTGTACTTTTTGACTTAGGAGGGTCTTCAAAAAGTTCCTGAAAATGTGCATTACAAAAAAAAAAAAAACTGCATAGATTTCAAAATGTTTGGAACCAAAATACTTGAATTCCATTTTCCCATGAACTTTCTTAAGCCCCTACACATAACATATTATTGGGCTAACATATGAGGCATTTTGTGTCACAACTTCAAAAACCCAGTGCAATATTCAATAAATTTATTTATGTGATTAATTTTTTAAGAATTATTTTATTGGTTATTATTTTTTAAATTTGCTATAGGGTATGTGTGCTCACCAGAGAGAGAGAGAGAAAGAAAGAGAAAGTGAGCAAGGCACCAGGTCCGGGACTAGAACTACAGCCAGCACTGGTGCCATAACCACCATGTTACCTGCTGGACCCTATTAAAAAACAATTTCTAAGCAATTATTTAACTTTATCTATCTATTCGTTTATTTTTAATTTGACCAGAGAGGGACAGAGTGAGAGAGAGAAAGTAACAAAGCAAGCTGCCAATTCCGGGACTCAAACCAGTCGGCTACATGGGAGTCCAGCGCCCTTAACCACCATGCCAACTGCCAGACCCAGTTTAAATAATTTACTTCCCAACTAGTATCTAATCCCCATGAGGAAAGGGCCTGGGTTACCTTGTTCTTTATTGTCTACTCAGCCAGAACAGAATCCTAAGCATGGGACTAGCAGTTACCATAATGGCTATGTCACTGGATTCCCATGTAGTTGACCGCGGTTCAAGTCCCAGACCCAGTGGCTTAAACTCACGCCGGGCGCGTGTGCATGCGTGCCCAAGATCCTGAGAGGAAAATGGAGGAGAAGGGATTGCGCTGTGGCCATCTGCCCTAGGGGGGATGATTTCTTGCTTTTTGTCTCTCTGTCTCTTTCTGTCTTTCTGGTGAGTGCAAGTGCTCTATAGCAAAAACCACTCAAAAAAATTGTTAAATTCACCATAAAACCATATCTTCTTTGTAAAAGTGTTGGGATCATTCATGAGGGGCATACTATACCTGGTACGGTACCAGGACTCAGTTCCAATCCCCACAGCCCTCATTTTTCATGTATGGGTAAAATACATGAATATTTTTACTACTTTTCAAAAGGCTTCGCCTCTCACTGTGACAAATATCTTAAAATGTATTGTTTGACTCCTTAAATATAATTTATATGTACATTTTTTACTGCTGAGTGTTGCTCCTAAGTTGACTTAATGTTACGTTTTATAGATATTTAATTATACACATTTATTTTGATTCTGTAGTTTTATTTATTTTGGGCAACTATGTTACTTATCTTAGGTATTCAGCTATACGTATTGTGATTTAAATCTAATCTTTTTTTTTTTTTTGGAGAGGTTTTTGCTATAGGGCCCGTGCGTTCGCAAGACAGAAACAGACAAGAAATCACCCCCTCACCCCCCAGGGGGGATGGCCACACTACAATCCCTTCTTCTCCACTCTCCTCTCAGGATCTTGGGCATGCATGCACATGTGCCCAGCATGAATTTTAAGCCACCAGGTCCAAGACTCAAATCGCGGTCGACAACACGGGAATCCAGCGACATAGCCATTATGCTAACTGCTGGTCCCTAAATCTAATCTTTTTTTAAGCTTCATATATAGGCAGTCTTTTTTTTTTCTTTTAAAGAATTATTTATTTGTTTCCATGTGTTATTATTATTTTTTAATTTGACCAAACAGAGACAGAGAAAGAGAGAAAGGGAAAGTGAGAAAGCAACTCGCCAGGTCTGGAACTCAAATAGCAGTTGGCCATGTGGGAATCTGGAACCTTTAACCACCCTGCCACCTACCGGCCCTATATGGACATTCTTAAAGGAGAAAAGTTATTAGACAAAAAGGTGTGTGTGTTTGTATGTGTGTGTGTATATGTAACACGAAGGTCAAGTAGAGGCTTGTTAGCCTTGTAACTAGTTAACTAGCGGGCTTCTGGAGGTAAACTATCAGGTAAAGTAATTAGGGTGTTGTATATTCAGAAATACATACAGTATTTACTGTATTCTTAAGCTGAAGAAATCATTACCCCCACCTACTAATCTTTCCTTAATAGAAACAGAAACAAATATGATATAAGCCCTGACCTAAGGTCGCTTACAGCTTAAGAACATGATAGACACAAAAGAACGTACAGAATACTTTAAGCTCGGTATTTTTATTGTTAGTAAATAACCATATTACATGTTTTGCAATTACGTTCGTTTATTGTAAGTTAAAACAAATAAGTAAAACTATAAACTATAGACTATTTCTCAGGAGGTGGGGTTTCCAGCATGATAGATTGAAAAGCTTGGTGAAACCTTTCCCTGAAAGTTGCCTAGGCACAACTCCCCAGGAAGTCAAGCTTAAACTAAAAGCAAGGAAAAAGTATCTAAGTAGGGACACCAGACACTGCACACTGTGGGGAAAATAAACCTCACAGAATTCATCCAGGCAAGTCATGAAACAAATAAACAAATAACGAACAATAACAAACATTAAATAGCCATAAGAAGCTCCCTGGCCAAGATCAGAATCCTGAGCTGCTAGAATACATTATGGAATGACATATTGGGTTGTTGGAAAAGCCATGATGCATTTTTGCATGTCCTGACTTTTCTGGTGACTCAATAAAATGCCCAATTTTCAATAAAAAATTATATCATGCAAAGAAACAAGTAAGTGTGACTCCCTTAAACAGAGGATAAGGGGCCAGCAGGTGGTGTAGTGATTAAGGCGCTGTTCTCCCACACGGCTGACTATGGTTTGAGTCCTAGATCCGGTGACTTGAGACTTATGTGGGTGCATGTGCGTGCATGCCCAAAATCCTAAGAGGAAAATGGAGGAAAAGGGATTGCAGTGTGGCCATCACCCCTGGAGGGTAATTTCTCATCTTCTGTCTCTGTTTCTCTGGCGGGTGCACGCGTCCTATAGCAAAAATCTCTCAAAGGAAAAAAGGGGCCTGCAGGTGGCATAGTGGTTAAGGCACTGGACTCCCATGTGCCCGACTGTGGTTGAAGTTTTGAACCTGGCAGATTGAAACTCACAATGGGCACATGTGCATGCATGCCCAAATCCTGAGGGTAAAATGGAGGAGAAAGCATTGCAGCATGACCATACCCCTGGGGCAGGGGGTGGGGGTGATTTCTTACTTTCTGTCTCTCTGTCTTTCCAGCAAGTGCATACAGCCTATAGCAAAGAAAAGAAAATAAAGAAAAACTCTCAAAAGAAAAACCAGAGTGGGGAAAAAAAAAGAAACAGGCAGGAATTGCCTTGGGAAGGGTACATACGTCTTATTAAATCTAACAAGGACTTCAAAGCAGCTATTATAAATGTGCTTGAAGAATAAAAGGAAATCATCCTTAAAGAATTAAAGGAGAGTGTAATGACAATTTATTAGAGAATATTAATAGAGAAAAATTTCGAGGAAGCCAAATTGGAATCTCTAAATGGAAAATTATAGTAATTTAAAAATTTAATGGAGGAGCTCAACGCTAGATTTGAACAGGCAGAAGAAACACTGAACTTGAAGGCAGATCAGAAGATTATATAATTTGAGAAACAGAGAGAGAGCATAAAGACACATGAAGCAATTTTAACAGAAATGAGGGACACCATTAAGTCCACCAGCTTACACGTTATGAGATAATTAGAAAGAAAGAAGATAGAAAAAATACTTGAAGAAATAATGTCTTAAAACTTTCCAAATGTAATGAAAAAAGAGAAAACAACACATCTAAGAGCTCAAATTATTTAAAGTAGGATAAATAAAAAGACAGTCACAATCAGACACATTAAAATCAAACTGCTGAAAGCCAAAGATAAAGAGAAAACCTTGAAATCAGCCCAAACAAAAGCCCCGCTTATCTTGTACAAGAGAATCACAGTAAGAGTAGCAAGTAACTTCTCATCTAAAACAATGGAGTCCAGAAAGCAGTGGAATGACATTATCAAAGTGATGAAAGAGAAAGGAAAAGAAAAAACCAGAAACAAAACAAAACAAAAAACTCACAACTTCCACCCAAGAAACTTTAATCTATC